ACATGTAACATTGCACATGCACTATATCTAGTTGCAGAAGAAATTTGAGGAAATTATCCTCAGATAGATAAGTGAATTTCTGCAGTGAAGAAAATCTTCATCAAAGCTTCAATATGAGTGCAAAATTCAAGTAAATGGCCACTCCGATGCCGTTACCTCCCCAACCCATTTTCAATCTCAGAGCACGTGACTTAACGCTACAAACTATTATCGTACCAATTAAAAAGCTATCGAAGAGGTTACCGCATTCAATAAAGGCGAAGCTGCCTCCATAAAAACCGCCAAGTCTCTGTTTTCAAGTATCACATTCATCGGATCTCTCAAACATTTTCAGGTCATATTTTCATAACTTTTATTTTATAAATGCTTGCGTATTTTGAACACTTAGTTCATAAACATCTGGATACTACTCACAACACAAATGAACTCTCAGAAAGAGAAAGTATTTCCTGTTTATTATAGAGTTTAGATATAAATAAAACTATAAATTCTTCTGATCTTGCCAAAAGCTGAAGATTTCATTTGAATTAAAAGAATTTATTAATGTAGTTTAAAATACCTACCCTACAGTTATGTATAAATATTTTTGATTACAATAAATGATAAACACTGTCACTATTTTGATATGTGATTCACTCAGAAATCATTGAATTTACAGTACGGACCATTCAAATAATAACGAGGCTTGTCCCCTCAATGTTCAACTAATTTACTCAATGTCCAACTATTAATGAATAACATTCAATAATAATCAATTTAATAATTAACAAAACTGAAAACAATGTATATAATTTCAGCACAATTAACTTGAAGCATGAATATAAACAAATATTTTCATGTTTATAATAGCGCTTAAATTGGCCTCCCCCTCCCCAATAAAAGATCTGATATCACACCTCTGCATCATAATATCAACTATCTCAATCATTTGTTTGTCCAGTTTTCCTGATCTACTGAGCAAAGGCTGAGATGGCCCCTTGTTTTGCTTCTGGACATAAATGTAGTTTTTCTTTAACTTTTCTTCTACTTATAGTTGTAGGAGTAGAGCTGGGGGAGCATTAATATTTTGTTAGCAATGCAGAAAAATTAAATCAGCATTTCGTTTACCCAGACAAATAAGTTTTCTATAACTCCAGAACGAAAATTTCTAGTTTTTCAAAAGTTGCTAATCTTGCACTTTTTTAAATTCAATTATTTTTTATGTTGTTTGTTTTATTTTTTATACTTTCATTTATCTCTCAACTATTTATAGTTAAAACATTGGGAAGAGATTCTGGAACTCAAGAACACGAGCGCAGATGATCTTCTCCCCGATACTTTACATACAGTTTTTGCTTATTTATTATTATTATTAATAATTAAAACTACTGAATGTTTCAAAATACTAAATTTCTATTGAAATTTTATTTTGTTTTATTTATATTATTTATTTATTGATTTATAAATAAATAAGTAAGGTTAAATCACACAGAAACTAGGTATACTATCCTTTTCTCTATGGTCAAATTATCATTAATGAACATTGACATCTAATTATGAATTAACATTTTTTGAAAAAATTCCTCCCCCTATTGAAATTGTTTTTAATATAGAATAACTTGCAATTCTTTCACACTCACTTACCCAAATAAGGAATAAAAGGAAGCTCCCAGCTTTTAATCTCCAAAATTAATGTTTAGACAATCTTGAGATGTTTGAACAGAGAAGTTTTTAAATTTTCTACAATTTTAAAACAAATTTGCATTTGAATAAGATACTGACTTAAATACATTATTCATATTTAATGATCAAAAATAGGTAAAATCGACTGAAAAATGTAGTGTTAAAATGATATTAAAATATTAGCATTATCAATAATATTCAGATCAATATGTTACAAATTAGTTTCTTTGAATTTGAAGCTTTCTTGTAATCACAATACAGTCCATAAATAAGTTGATAAAATATAACTCCTCAGAAAACACTCAAATAAAATTGTTTTTTCAAAAGAAGTATTTTTTCTTTTAAATATTTACTAATGAGTAAATATATCAACTCAAGCAGAGCTGAGACTGCAAATGATTCTTTGTAGACCAGGAAGTTATGAAGTTAACTCTTGGTGAGCAGATTTTTAATATAAGCTAAGTTGCTGAGTTGACATAGAGCACTGTTTGATTGAAATTTCTAGAGGCTGGCAGTTTTTTACTTTTTTCTGTAGGACTTTTGGGTTTTTGAGGAAATAAAGATTTGGGGTAAGTGGGGCACAATGATCTGAAGCTGGGCACCTTGAGACGTTATCATTTCTAGCTGATTTTGAAAGGAAAGTAGTTATCATACTCATTAATAAGAGAACAAAGTGAACAAAATGACCATTCATATTATATAATAAGTATCTCTCTCTTTTGAATGACCATTAGGTTTATTTGTTCCAAATTGTGTATTCAGTTTAGTGTGATACTTGAAGTCTTGGAAGTGCATGTGGCGCAGGTAGAGATAAGATAAAAATTTGTTAAAAGAATGAAGCACTAAATGGAATAAAGTAATACTTACTATTCACATTTTAATTTTATTATTGCTCATGTTCAAAATTAGTTTGTGAACAACAGAATAAGAGATAAAACGGAAGATGAAATGGGCTTTTGATGCAGACACATTGAAATGATAGCAGGAAAAAGTTTTGACATGCTGCTCAGATGATGAATCTGAAAGTTCCAGGTTGTGGCTAGATATGAAAATAAAATGAAAAAGAAACCTCAGGTTGGATTGGAAATGAAAGTCTGTTATGACTCTTTAAAAGATATCTCAGATGGAGAGAGAGAAGATACAGCTAGATTTTGTACAAATATCTCAAAAAATGTTTTATGGCTTTACTACCTTACACATATGCAAAATCAGCACATTTACGGAATGTAATGACCATGTAAATTAATGTGGTGAAGGAACAGTATAGCTGGGAAAGATTTCCTACATTGCTTCATTAAAATGTCATTCATAATTCTTTCAGTTTTTCATTCAACAATATGAATAAGCTCTTAAATAATTTCACCTTCACCTAGTTATATTTATGTCAATCAACTATTGCTAAAGCTAGAATATTCAGGTCTTGTTATCCCTGCAATAAATTTGCTATTTCTCAGATGTGCAAGCTTTGTTCTATTGAAACTAGAGGCAACACATTCTTTCTCCTTCGCATTATAATATTATAATGTTGCAATTTCTGCTAAAAAATGTGTTTTATGTTTTTTTTAGTACTGGAAATTTGAAAGGGTTTAGTGGAAACGACCAGCACCACTTTCTTTGCCATTCTTTGATACTCACAAGGAATGAGATGAGAAAATAATTGTTTAACAATTGCTATTGTTTCAGACAAAATTATACCAAAAAACACTCTTTTTTTTTGAAAATTTGTACATGTCCTTATTTCAATATTTATTTTTATTGAACATGTTTTATTAAAGGAAAAAATACTACCTTTAATATTGCAGTTGTAAGAAGATGCCAAATAATTTTAAAATTTTTGCAATTTTTGAAATATTAGATCAGCATTATTTCAACAAAAGTGCAGCTTCTGTAAGCATCTATTGTTCTATTTGTAAAAAATAATTAAAGAAAAAATTTGGGGTCGTTTTTGAGAAAGTTTTCAAAATGTAGAAGCTTCATTTAATGAACCACCGTAAAAACAAAATATCCATTTCATATTCAAGGGGTCATGACAACAGCCAGATCAATTGGGGAGTATGAGTTTTTGGGTAAAACCTGCTTGCAGTTTACCTGCTAGCGTTGTTCTCTGATGGATGGACAGACATTTTGTCGTCGTACGATTTTTCAGTATCAAGAACACACAAAGCATGGATTCTGATTATACAATATGTTAAAAAGTAATTTCCCATGTACAGGAACAAGACTTATTCACTTTTTCATTACCAGAGCTCAGCAGCAAGCTTTTGCTTCAGAAAATTGCTATTTTTCCCAAAGCATTACAATACATTCTCTATAAGCAGGATGCGTGAAAGAAACAAGTGATGCTACAGAATGGCATAGGCTTTCTTGTACTAGTTATTTTTCCAATCTCTTTAGTCTGGGCTAGATTTTTGGTTTTGCCTCACCCTCTTGCAAGGTGCCATCTAATGCCATCTAAAAGACATTCTTTTACATTATCTTAATTTTTCAACCCCTAATGATAGAACTAAAATATGACTAAGAATATTACAGCTGAGTAAAACATGGTTCTACAAGAAAATTTTCTTAGAAAAATTTGAAACCAATTTTGAGAAAATGTTATTTTCGAAAATACTCAATTTTGAATCCATTTTCACTGAAAACTTTCTGTGATTTTGAGAAGCTTCATTTGAAATTATTTGATGCACATTGCTAAAATATATTTAAAAAATGACCCTAATGTAAATACAACATGAGAGATATTACAAGAAAATTACCCTTGTGTGATTTTGAAATAATTCAAGGAATAAATCAAAATTCCTTCCATGCCATGTTATTCAGTGCATTTTTTAACTCACTATCACAGAAACATTTTGAGTTACAAATGCAGTAATGTATACAAATAGCCAGTATTGTATCTTTTTATTATCTCCCTCATGATTAATATTTACATTTGTATAATTTTTGAAAAAACAAGAGAATATTGCAAAATAGGATTTCTCAACGGATACAGTGCATTTATCACTATTATTCAAAATGGTAGAAGAAAAAATTTGTAGTAATTGTTAAGAAAATCTTGTTTTAATATTTTTTTAATTATTGCCAGAGATCACTCAAAATTGTGCAACAACTACTAATAATTTTTAAAAATCTTTGATGTCAAACAAATTTCATTTGATCAAAAAATCCTAATCTTAAACATTGTAATTCTAAAAAGATGCTGAAACAAAATTAAACTTTTGAAATTTTCAAAAAATATGAAGTTAACAGTGAAAATTGGACTAGTGCTATCTAATACAATTCATCATCATCATCATAAACTGCAGGTTGCTAAGCCTGATGCCTGTTCTTATTTCCTAGTAGACCAGAAGACTTACACCTCCAGGTGTTCCTAATAATACTATTGTTAACAAAAATGTTGGTATTTTAACATAAAAACTGATCACTCTGGTTTTAGGTAACTAATGATTTCAACCTCAAACATAGCTAGAAAATTTCATGTTAATTACAACAGCATCTGGTTTTGAAAACTGTTCCTATATTCACTCTAAATTTCATGTAGCTGTAAGCCTGGAAAACTACAGTCAATACTTCGGAATAGGTGTGACTTCTTTGTATGCTTATTTCAATAAATTCACAATATATTACTGTTGTAAAGACTGATGTGTATACCCAAATTTATGCCTCAATTATAATATATTTTTTCCTGTTAAAAAAATCTTTATAAAAATTAGTGTGAACATTTAATACAAAATCTGCAACCTAAATATTAATTAGTTTCACCATTGGCAACATTTATTAACTTCTGAATTCTATTTTGTGTTTGTTTCGCAATTTATTCACATTTTTATTTTAAATTTGATGAAATTTTGCAAATAGAATTGAAGTTTGAAAATAGAAATCTAATTGACAAAAAAATAATCACTGCATAAATTGCTATTCATGAATTATATTCACAACAATAATGTCTCTAACCAGGCCAGTACACCTGGATTACTTTTATTTCAAAAATAAAAGTGTGTAAAATGCAATGTAGATGCACATCACATGATCATTCAAATGTAGGATGTAACATGAAGTAAGTAACAAAACTTAAATTTATATAGTGATAAATGTTAGGCTATATTGAATAGTGATTTATTATATTATGGTATTATTTTAGCTTTGAAAAGTCCACAATGTTGGACAAAAGTTAGAGTAATACTAGAAACTAAAATACTTTTTTAATTCCATATTTCAAAAATGTTTATAAAAATTCAAAAGATGATTAATATCTAGAAGTTGTATAATAAGAAATATTTTGAAAAAATTAGAAAAAAACATATATACCCATTTATTAAGTATTATGAAATCTTTGTTGGGAGGAAAGGAGTTTTAAGAGTACTAATGTTCTACTTGTATCTCTATTTACCACATTTCTGCAATCCCTCCAAAAAAAATTATGCTAAGTATCTGCATTCACATATCTTCCTACAACAGGAAGGCAAAGGTGGGGTATTATCTTAAGAAAAAAACAGCATTTTCTGAGAATTCTGTTCTTAAAAACTCTTTGCCACTTTAATTTCAAAGCATTGTGTGGTAGAGCCAGTGTGCTAATAATTCTCATATGCTAGGTCAATACAGTATCATGCTTGTAATATGGAGTCCATACATTTTTACAGAAATCTCTTCAAGAAGTTAGTATATGACTAAAAGCCCCTTGATAAATATTTATTTCACCTAAACATTTTAGAAACATTTTTTACACACTGACAAAACTAGTTATTTTATAATAGCTCTATGACTCAAAGAAAACTGACATCCAAACAAGAGCGTTTTTCAAATATAGCCAAAAAGGTATCAATTTTTTGATTAAAAATGGTTTTCACTCAGTTTTCAAAGGCAGAATACTAGTAAAACTTTTATGTGCCAAAAGTTTAATTCCCACAAAGAAGGATATTAGGATCTCTAAAAATTTAAGTATGTTATTTCAAATAGTAGTTTTGATTATAAATTCACAGATAGATGTCAAAGGTCTCTGGACCTGTATGTATGCTGCATAACTTCCAATATAATAAAACTGTTATTTAGAGGTTCAACAGAAAGCTTGAGACACATACTAACTTCATGATAGTTATTATCAGTTTTCCAGCCTCAATTTGCAATATCAATTGATACATAACTCCAAACCAAAATGTACAATATCAAAGATATGATTCATTTAATTAAACATAGTAGAAAATATGTCAACAAGCCAGAGATAGATATTGCAATAATGGCAGAGAACAGGGTTTAAAAAACAAGAAATTTTTAAAAGGCAAAGTAGCAATTTTGGTAGAATAACTATTTCCTCAGGGAGGTACACATTGCTGAAAAAATACAATCAAAAGTATCATAAAGGAGGACCTTGTACCTCCACATTCAACTCCAAACATTCAACGGATATAGCAGATATGCAGCAATAACAATCAATATTTAGATAAAACATATAAGTCATTTACACACAATTACTTACTTTCAAGCATATCATATTTGTATTTCTTGCTAATTTACCATAAGGTGGAGTGATCTATCTGAAATTTAGATCTGAATGCTGCATGTCAACAATCTTCTATATTTTGCAAAATTTAATTTTTGAACTCCTTTAAACAGGACATCTAACCAAGAATAAGACTCGGTGTTTATAATTTTGTTAATTGTATGCAATGCAAGTACAAAATGAAAATACCTCAAGTTGGACAAGAGTTAAACAGTGGAAGAATTCATTGATTGCATTGCTATGAATCTTTTGAAAGTGTAAAGAGTAGAGTATATTTCCTAGAAGACTAGATAACGTTTTTGCTTATATCATGTATTTACCAAAATTGATTATGGTGCTTAACCAATACAGCAGTAAAATAAAACTATGCCGATGTTACAGTACACAACCATAAACCATGCCTGAATATCAGTACTTTATTTCTGGATAATTGTCACTTGAACTCCCCTGTAATGGTAAATAGAACTTCAAGAGTCACAGCATTATCCTTACACAATACTACTAATGAAGTGCATTTCCAAGAACATGCTCACAATTCACATTCATTTGAAGTAAAGACACTTGCCAACTCTCCCTTAAGGCATGATTATTTTTCTGTAATTACCACAATAACAAGATGAAGTTTCTTGGCTGTTTAATACAACAGATCTTGGAGCAAGATACCTATTCTAATTCTACAACACTGCCACTAGAAATATTTTTGAACAATTGTTATAAATAGAGACAAAAATCACACCTGTCAATTGAAAAACTTGACAAATGGCAGTGAGCATTCTGCTGAGACTGGAACTGGATTAAACGGGCTTTTATTGTAAAAACTGGTTAGGCTAGTGCTGTTAAGCTAACCTTCGTATTTGTGCAACATACGTTGTGGATATCAAGTATTAAAATCAGTTCTAATAAACATGAAAAAACAAATCCAACTACATTTCACTATATTTCTCAAACAATCAAATCAAATAAATAAAAATAAAATAATGGTGTGACCATTCAACACAAACGAGCACTGTTTTTAATTCATTTTCAGCACTCAATAACGACAATTTATTTTATTTAAAAGCCTGCTTTTATATTCTCTGAGTCTTGGACTCAAAATTTCAGGAAGCACATTTTCATACTTCCAAGCAAGGACCAATATGGTACATTACAAATAAATATTATATACAAAAAGGAAATTATAACAGGATTACAATACAAAGTAGAGAAAGGAATTTTGCTAACAAAATCCAGCAAGGAAGATGTGTACAACATGCAAAGGTACACATATAATTAAAAACATGATCCACATCTCACTTGAAACTAATAAATTACCTCTAACTCTTATCAAACAAGTTTGTCAATACCCAAACTGTTTGATACTAGTCCCATACCTGTACAAGATCTATTCCAAATCTGGATAATCAGCAGGGTATATTTTAATATTCCCTTCACTAGAATGTGAACCATTCGTTCCTGCACAACATAAAACTGTCAATTGAATTTCTGTCCCAGCCTGCATTGGTCTCCCCAAAAGAGTAGTCAGATTGAAATACAATTAAAAACTGAAGATCTGCATTCTTTTTTTCCTCACAAATTTAATTCATACATACAACACAGAAATTTCTCCCTGAGCACTTCAACATACATTCTAGATACAATGATGAACCATTCTTTAAAAGCAGATAATGTTCAAAAACAAATATTTACATTGCACACTGAAGCTAAGGGATTAATTTACAGTATTATACAAGCAAATGCAGACTGGGACTTGCAAACAAGCATAATTTGAAATTACAGACCCTGAGAATTTCTATTTAACACACCTCAAAACACACATTTCATGTAAATAACATAAGAAACTCACAATGTAAGCTTAATAACATAAGTAGATTATTGTAAATTATAGAACAGTAATCAAAACTTTTGCAACATAATAAAATTGCTCAGACCACTAGCCTCACAGTACAATTGCATTACATATATATTTTCCCACTTAGCAACAGCTATATATACAAACTAATAATTTTGTATTTCGAATTATTTTCCCCTTTTAAATCATAAAACTTTGAAGAACAATAACTGCTTACACAAATTGCTTATTCAAACCTTCAAACACCAAAAAATTGCACCTTACACTTCAAATGTTATGGAATTAACATACTGCCCGCTCTTTTTACAAAGTTCATATGAATGAACATTGGCAAATTCAAACTCTAATTCATACAACATAATTAACAATGTATGGTAGCCAATGACATTTCAGCACTTCGTAGCAGTAACCGAGTACATTTCCAAAGGTTTCTTGCTTCATGAAGGGAAAATAAAAACACCTTCTCACAAGCACTATACAATGGGAAATGATATTTCAGCAGTCACTGACTTCCCACCATAGTGTATTGTACACTATTTCTTAAGCTGTGTGCTTGTAATTCTAATATACCATACAGCTCCAAGCATATGGGTAACAAATATACCATTACTAATACAACAAAACTCAGGCACCTGTTCAAAGGGGGAGGAAATGAAGTTCAACTATGCTTGGGTATTCCAGGTCACCACACCACAGTGTGATTGCTGCTAAGCTTACAGAAATGTTAACCTTACTTTTTGCCTGCAACACAGCATACACTTTGATTTTCAATTGAACACTGTAACATAGCTGTGAACCTCTTCAGATAAATGGAATCATACGAGCAATGCGTAAAATTATATCTAGCATGACAAACCATGCTTTCCTTGCAGTTTGAGAATGTACCATTAATGCTCGCCAAACTAACAACAAAGCAAAAAGTTGAGTAAATCGATGCACCCAAAACAACCTGGAAAAAAAGAAATTAAAGAGTGAAATAACAGTATTAAAGACATACTTAAGTTGAGAGAGAAACATGTAGTACTAACTTTTGTAGGTATTTTCGTGCTTTAGGCAAAGAATTTGGTGGCTCCTTAAAAATAAAATGCCGAATGCCAAGGATATAGGATTCAAGGTATGTGGGCCAATGAATTTCTCGCACATCGAATAGAAAAGTCCGACGATCCTCAGCACTTAGCAAACTATTCAAGTGTTTAACGTTGTCATCCTTGAAATGCCACTGTTGGGTGGTGAAATATTCAAGGCATTTTGCTGCTTTTAACAGTTTCGACTGGATGCGAACCATACTATAAAAAACAGAACAATGTTAGGAATATTTGTACAAAATGTACAGAAATAACATGAAAGAGAAATAACATAATAGAAATTACACACAAAAAATCAATTTGAATGGCAGATGCGTAGGTATACAATATTTGAAAAGTGAAATTCTCAATCATGATAAGCACCAAAGTTCTGCTAGCTATTTATTGAGAAAATATGCTTTAATAAAATATTTTCAAAAATTCTTGAGCAACGTCATCATGTCATACATAATATCTCAACTTATATGATAATGTGATAGCTACTTGTATAAGGGGTTGTCCATGAATTAAGAAACGCTAAAGTGGGGGAGGGGTTTGAGGTAGCGTTACATAGGGACAGAGGGTGTTAGTTTAGTTTTATGCAGGTATTGATTATTTTTCAACATCTGATGAAATAATTCCTTTTATTCAGTCTGACACTAAAACATTAACAAATTAAATTTTAAAATGTATAAATAAATTAAAAAGTTATGATGTATAAATTGCTACAATAAATCAAAATATTTTTTCATCAATGTTACATCAATTGAATGTTCCAAAATTGTCCCCCAATTTGTGCCATGTAATTTACGGACAGCCCTGTGAATTCCTAAAAATATTCAATTAAAATTTTGCCCTCATAAATAATAAGTAGAAACTTCTGGCACATAACATCTTTGAGAATTCTTGTTTTCGTTTATATGTCATATTCTTACTTACATTGGCTTTTTCCCAGAAATTCGACTAAAGAAATCGAGTACATATGCTGGCAATACATGAAGAGTGAGCATACGAACAGAATTAATAGCCCAGTTTGAATGACAACTTCCATCTGGATACCACACTACATCTTTAAGCGGATTTTTACGCATGAATGTGAAGGAATAATCAACAAAATTCCTCCAGGTAATGGGCATTTGCTGACCAGTACAACAGTTATATACTAGAATGCCTCCTGCAGGCCGACTTGTAGCAGTGCGCCAAGCAGCACAGATCATGAGGTTGATCACCATGTCCACAGGTATTAAATCAGCAACCATGCTGTCATGACAAAGCATTGTACGAAAAAAGCCTTTTCCAGCTGCAGCAATCAATCCGGTAGGGCCATTCCAATTGTCTACCCATCCAGCCACTGGTTCCCTTATGGAGGACAAAACTGAAAATATGAACAAATTAGAAAGAAGAATCAACACATCACTTCCATGAGAAATATATTGTGTATAATTCACAAAAATTAATTATATCACTAATGCCTACCAATGGAAGGCCTCACAATTGCAACAGGAAGATTTCCACATTCCTTGATGAGCATACTTTCTGCAAGAGCTTTTGTAAATGTATATGTGTTGGGTCGATTTCCAATAAGTCTGAAAAATTATGACAATGTTTAATTACAAGTTAACAATAACTGGTAATGGTGAACTGGCATGGATCACGAATACTGTAAATTATAGAATGTAACACAGGAAAATAAAATTTTCCTATCATTCATAAATAACATCAAATGAATAAAATACCAAATATTTATTTTGATTTTATTACTTTTTGTTTTAGAATAGCTTGCATGAACAAGAAAGGAAACTTTCTGAAACTCAATTCAGCAACCAGAAATTCTCTTTATTCACTGAAAAAAGTTAGTGTAAAATTTCAAATGCCAAGAAATCATTATCATTTCATTAGTGTTATGTCTGCTATACATTTCTTTTGTGTACTCATTTAGTCAAGATCTTAGCACATTGTAAGAAGCAACAATTTCAAACATAAACAAAGTTGCCTGAATTAAAATATAATTGTCAAAAACAACAAGAAAAGTCTTACTTGGGAGTGAGAGCTTGGACAAGGTCATCATCCATCCATTCCATACACTGAATGATCTTTTCAGGATCATAAGGAGGTGGATAAATCACCTCACTCACTTCTTCACGATCGCAATTGCAGTAAGCAGTTGACACATGTATCAGAGCCTAAAAAAGTGTTCCCATGAAGTACGAATTGAAGAGTAAAAAGTATCATTTTCCATTTTCTCCAGAATCCACTTAAAAAAATAATGAACTTACTTCCAGGCCCAACATTCGATGACAGAGTTCTACTAGACGTTTGGTACCAACCATATTAATGGTCACGGATAACTTTAATGCTTCATCAAATTTGACAGTAGCAGCTGAGTGGAATACTAAAGATACTGTCCTTATTAGTAGATTTTGGTCAGACTGACTAATACCCAATTCTGGTTCTGTTACATCTCCCACAATAGGCACAATCTTATTCAGCTCCAATGGTCTTGTTTTCCGCAAACGATCAAACAGCTGTAAAATTCACATCGATGAAGAAATGTAATTCAGTTTTTCTAAGAACATATTTGTAATTGATTGCTACAAAAAGACAATTGTCACCAAAAAACAAAATACTGCTACTTACTGGAGCATTGAGCAATTCTGCTAGTCGAGCTGCCACATCTTGTCCCTTCTTGGGACGCATCAACAAATAAATGTTTTTTATACCAGGACATGACCAAAGTAGTTTTTCAACCAGCACTTTTCCCATAAACCCAGTTCCACCAGTCACAAAAATGGATCTATCATGATAGAATTGACTAACAGGGATATAGTCACTAATTCCTAGTATGGTTGCCATTGTTTCAGAATAACAACATACAATTTCACAGAATACCACTAATTGTGAGATACACTCAGAAATCAGATGTTCATTGGCACATAAAATTGCCCTCACAATTTAAATGCTCGTTCTAAAAACACCATTCCTGTTACACAAACACTTCCACTAATCTTCTCTTGTGCTCAACTAACAAACAACAGCAGCACTATCACCAAACTATTTCAATTTTCTGTAAGTTTCAGTTTGTGCTGGTGATTACTGTTCACTGGAATATGTTTAATGAAATTTCTTCCTTATATTCACTGGATAACGCGCCATTTATTTCTCATTTTAGTTTCATAATAAAACGTCAATCACGCCTGCAAAAAGAAAGAGAAAATGTCAGTCAGTACAATATTCAAAATTCAAATACAAGAATACTACATACATACTATTTTAAGAAAGCTAAATATGCGTTAGAAAATAATTACAAGTACGATTGCTTGACATATTTGTTCTGTACTACGATAATAAGTGGCACTTTTTAAGTTACTGGAGTACTGAAGTAAAAATAAAATTCAACTGCAACGTCGCAAGAGAGATATATCTCCATGGCACGGTCGTCAGAGCACTTTTAATTATCCCGCTATTTGTCATCATCTGCACCGCGCCCACAAGCGCCAACGTGCACCGGCCAGCTGACAACTATAGAAGCACAAGGGCCGAACGAGAAACGCACGTGCGTTGTGCAGTCCGGAGCAGCCGGCCAGCATGTTCGATCGTGGCGCCAAGACCAGACTCCGCGCTAGGGAGCATCAGAACGGCGCTGGCGACGCAACAATATCATTCGCGCGAACGGAGGCGGCGGCAGCGGCGGTGGCGGCGGCCGGCGAATCGCTGGGCGATGACGCGTCGACCAACACGGCGCGCGCGCGGGCGGGAGGGCGAGAGAGCGAGCAGACGGGCGGTCGGGCGGCGGGGCGCGGCGGTGGCAAGGTTGCTGTAGCACGCTGCGCCCGTGCCGCCGCCGCCGCCGCCGGATGGACCCACGCGCGCCGCGCCGTGGCGGCGGCGGCGGTGGGTCTTCCGCGAGAAAGCAGGTCTGGCCGGCGTCACCGCGCCGTAACATTGACCTAGAAGCGCCCGCTAGCGGGTCAAGCGAGGCCGCCGTTATGCCAGCCATTCACCTTTCGACACAAATGCTTGGCCGCGCAAGTAGACTGCGTGCGTGTGTGTGTTGCCTGCGCGCGGTGCAACAATGGCGTCGGCGGCGGGCACGTGCTTTGCCGCCCAGGCGCTGCGTTCCGAAACGCCCGCCCACCGGGGAGCTTTCGTCGCGAGCCGGATACGGATCTCCCCCCTCTCCCGACGACACCCTTTCTCCTGGAATGCGCAGCGGTGCCCAGTGGACGAGCAACGCATCGGCGCTCGCTTTACTCTCACTGAAACGATCTCCCGCAACCGCGCTTTGTCACGAAAAAACAACAATTTTTCTTAACGGTACAACCCGCATTGTCCACATACTCCGTTATTTTCAACATGCACTTACAGTCACTTTCTTTTCTCGGGAAAGAACGAAAAAGTGGCACGCGCAACTGGTTTAGAGCGAATTTTCGAGACGTCTCCTGTAACCTGCAGTACGATCGGTCGCGAGAACAGATGCAGAACCGTTTCAAAAATCTAGCGGTCCCTGCCCCGCGTCGACAACACAGGCGGATCCTGGAGATGCATCTCCCGGCGCTTCATCCGGGGCTGACGAAATCGAAAATCGCCGGATAACAGTAGGTCCGCTTCACGACTGACGAAGCAACGAGACGAATCTCTTCCGATCCACCGAGGAGACAACGCCCTCTGCCGGGAGGGGGTGGGGGTGGAAAGAAGCTCTCGCGATCGACACCCGACAACCGGAAATGAAAGCGAAATGACTGGGGGGTTAAGGGTCCGGGTGGTTTGGCCTCTTTACGAGGGCTTCGAGGCGAGCGCCGTTCTCCCGTGACCTCGCCCTTCTGGCATGTAGCAGGGGGACTAGGCCTCTCCCGAATTAAAAACCACTCGTTTAATGTGCAATGGGCGTTTCTTTTGATAAAAGTGACCAGGTTATGAATTTTTTGTAGTTGTTATTTTAAGGTCGCATCAACTTCTAGGTCAATCGCGACCATTACTGCTTGTAACAGTATGGTGATTATGAGGATGACGATATGATGATACGGAGTGTGAAAGGACGAACACAATACAACCATGCCCGAGGCGGGACTCGAACCCACGATCCTTCGGCCCGAGATCGCTACGGCACTACTGCCTTAGCGATCTCGGCCACCGGATCGGCAAAGATTTTTTTTAACACTAAGAATATTGTCAATAAATTACATCAATTCATATTTCATGTGGAGATTAATATTTTTAAAAAAATCGTATCCGAGTATTGTGAATGTTTAGTATTTATGAGTAAATGCTGTTACACAATCTTTAATACTTGATTTATGTCTAATTCCTGTACTTGCACATATTCAGTATATTACTAGTGACGTTACTGTTGCCGGTATAATTATTATTAAATAAATAAAATAATTGTTTATAGCACAGTACCTAAATGCAACTGATTTATCAATTTATTTTAATACCTAAGAACGAATAATATCTGCGCGTTAAAGTAATTAGATGTTATTAGCGTGAGAAAGTACACTGCCCGCCATAGAGAGACGAAGTAAATTTTATCTGTTACTATGGGAACCAATGTTTTAGCTCTAGTGATGAAGAGTTAAATCAATAACGTGATTTCAATTTCGTGGAAGATTAATCAGATAACTTTGTTAATATTATTTTGTTGCACACTACTTAGATAGTAGCAAAAGTATCGGGCTGCAGCAAAAAGCGGCGATTACTTTTTTTTTATACAGACAACCTCGTTGTGTGTGTTCTAGATGCCGAAGAAGTGGATAATCCTTGTTCCCAAATTTAATAAATAACTTCCTCTAACAGGTTATGTAGTCAGATTCCACGTTTTGTGGGTTCTTGATACCAAAAATTGGTTTACAGCAAAATGTCCGTCCGACTGTGAACAAAGCTAAAGTTCGTCTAAACAGTAGGCAGGATTTTCACAAAAAATTATAATCTTCACATAAGGTTATGTATAATTTTTCGAAGATATGAGTAGTTTTCAGTAGTAATTTTGGATGGATTTTTTTAAAACTATTCTCCAAACGACTGTAATTTTTGTTTTTACATTTTTCTCGAATAGAGGAAAGAACGCTTAAAAATGGCACCGGTCACATTCTCGGTAAACGCTCAGTATTTTCGAAAATTGCAAAAGTTTAAAATTACAAAACTACAATATTGCAATTACAAACTTGAATTAATACACTACAATACTAATCAGCAAAACTACAACACATAGCAAAGGATCCATGTCAACGTATATTCAGTTAAGCTTTCAATACATTCAAAACATGCACTTATGAATTGATATTTTATTTGGAACTACTTACATTAATTGCAATCGAACAATATATTAAAAAGCTCCTTGTCGGCACTTTCCACTCATTTATGAAAATAATGGGAGAAGCACATTTTTGAAGACCCTACTTACCCCTCTCGCATTTCGCTACTCGTGTATTATCAGTATTTGTATTTTTGTATTAGTTACTTTGATATATATTGTTGCAAAATATTTACGTACGTAGAATAATGTTCTAATTCCAGAGTTGAAAACCTAACAAAAAGGAAGAGGGGAAACTTAAGGAAAGGCCAGTCCTACTGGACAAGATGCATTTCGAAACTGAAAATCACGGATGGGGCTCAAACACCATTTAAGATGTTAGCAGCCCTGACAAGTCACCGCCGAAGTTCTAGAATTAGACAAATTGGATGCTCGAAAATTGCGACAGTTACAAATAATTCAAGAAAGAATGTGATATTGTAGCACCACTAGATTTTGTTTTAAATTGACAATAGAGCAAAGAAATGTGTGTATAGTGTTAATACATTCTTCGCGCAATTTGCAACACATTCGGCAATTCATCCCACTCGCGTGGCAATGAACGCCTTTTTCAACGCTCGTATTTCAATGATTTTTTTTTCTCTGCCAGTTCCGCCTGGAATGCTGTTAAGTCCGTCGCGGAGCGAGCTTCCTCGAAAAGAAAAGTCCGGCCGCAGCGTCGCCCCTTAACGACTGACTCTCAATGCGCGCGACGTGACCTCTCGGGCGCGCAGCCCGGCTCCCGCCGCATCGCTCCGTCGCCTCTCCGCCTGGCGGCTAATAAGCCGCCCACGCGCCGCGCTGCGCCTGGGCCGAGAGAGGTGGCTCAGGGCATCCACTGATGTCACGGCATGGCCTCTGACCGGAGGTCCTAGCTTCCAGTGCTGACAGTGGCAGGAATTTCGACAATAGGTAGAGGGCTAGGTCGAGTTCAGTTGTTGTTTAGAGGAGAATTCTGCAGGCCGGCTGCTCTGATCGGTAGTTCTCCGTGGTTTCTCTGATCAACACCAGGCGAATGCCTGAGAGATACCGTGACAAACGGGTCACGGACCGCGCGCCATCTTTCCTTCCTCTCCATTTTTCTATCCTCACCTCTTACTTACAAACACACACGCGCGCGCGCACACATAGTGTACTGCATGTTAATGTAACAGGTGAGGATAGTGCAAGGAAGAGGAAGGAAATATCGCGCGCGATCCGTGGCCCGTGTGTTAGGGTACTGCTCCACACGACACTAGAACCTTACTATCAGAGGTACTCCAGTCACATCAGTTGATGGCCTGAGCCGCTTCTCCCGGTATGGAACTGCAAAATCCTCCTGGTAGTCATCGCCTTTTCGGTAACTCCTCCGATGAATAGTTGGATGGATGAGTGATAGTGATCATATGATTTGAAAGACGGCGGTGGAATTTGTGGAATAAGGGGCAGGGCAAATGGAAACCCAGCTTAGTCCCCCACAAATGCCTCATGGGTCGACCGAGAGTTGAACTTCGGTATCCAGAGATGTTAGACGAGCAGCACGAGCAGGCCCCGCCACGTCCACGCCTCGTCTCCCACGCTAACGCCTCTGATCTCACGCACAATCCACGTTCGACGATTTTACTGTTCCCCGGCCATTCGCCAGTTTCCCACCTTCCGACCTTTTCTGCTTTCGCTCGCCTCGCAGCCTTCTAATTCTCGCCATCGGTCTTCTACGCCAGCCGCCTCATCCTGCCACGCCTACGCTACGTTTCCACTGCCATCGCCTTCGTGGCTCTTCTCGACCCGCGATATCCGTTCCATCGCCATGCCCCTTCCATCACGCGCGCTCCACACTCCCTACGGCTGTGCAATCCACAGTCACGTTTTCTATAGCATATTTTCTCTTGTCGTGTGTGGTGCCGGCTAAGTAGTGGGTGCGGTTGT